ATCACCTCTTTTGCATGTGTTTGTATCATGCGGTGTTTTTTTATCATTATTGAATCAAGTATATGATTAATTCTTTGTATGGGTCAATTTTAGGAAGGTCTATTAATCAACGACTCTGAACGTGAAAATACTAGTGTGAAGCTACCACAGGATTCACCACAGGATTCGCTCTCCCTCCGAGAACAACAAAATCGAACATATGCGAAGCTAGCACGATATTTATCCGCACTAAATTCGATACGTAAACACAATATATTTTTTTTTTTGCCGTTAAACAGGCAGTATATCAATGACTGGTATCGATGAAAGGTTACATAACACAGATCCGAATATGTAATTTTTTTCCTGGCCCAATTCGTTGTCAAATCTTACAGCTCCTGAACGCAGACGTCTGCCAGCCTGAGATTCGAATCGCATATAATGATGTACGTTAAATGCGCGTTGAAGTACGAGCGAAGTAAACACCAAAAAACGGCTTTAAAATTTATGAAACTGCTATCGATAGAAAGCTTACATAACACAGATTCCGAATATGTAATTTTTATTCTGGCCCAAATTCGTTGTCGAATCTTACAGCTCCGGAAACGCAGACGTCTGCCAGCCTGAGATTCGAAATCGCATATAATGATGTACCTTAAATGCGCGTTGAAGTACGAGCGATGTAAACACCAAAAAACGGCTTCAAAATTTATGAAACTGGTATCGATAGAAAGGTTACATAACACAGATTCCGAATATGTAATTTTTATCCTGGCCCAAATTCGTTGTCGAATCTTACAGCTCCTGAAACGCAGACGTCTGCCAGCCTGAGATTCGAAATCGCATATAATGATGTACGTTAAATGCGCGTTGAAGTACGAGCGAAGTAAACACCAAAAAACGGCTTCCAAATTTATGAAACTGCTATCGATAGAAAGCTTACATAACACAGATTCCGAATATGTAATTTTTATCCTGGCCCAAATTCGTTGTCGAATCTTACAGCTCCTGAAACGCAGACGTCTGCCAGCCTGAGATTCGAAATCGCATATAATGATGTACGTTAAATGCGCGTTGAAGTACGAGCAAAGTAAACACCAAAAAACGGCTTCAAAATTTATGAAACTGCTATCGATAGAAAGCTTATATAACACAGATTGCGAATATGTAATTTTTATCCTGGCCCAAATTCGTTGTCGAATCTTACAGCTCCTGAAACGCAGACGTCTGGCAGCCTGAGATTCGAAATCGCATATAATGATGTACGTTAAATGCGCGTTGAATTACGAGCAAAGTAAACACCAAAAAACGGCTTCAAAATTTATGAAACTGCTATCGATAGAAAGCTTACATAACACAGATTCCGAATATGTAATTTTTATCCTGGCCCAAATTCGTTGTCGAATCTTACAGCTCCTGAAAACGCAGACGTCTGCCAGCCTGAGATTCGAATCGCATATAATGATGTACGTTAAATGCGCGTTGAAGTACGAGCAAGTAAAACGGCTTCAAAATTTTGAAACTGCTATCGATAGAAAGCTAACACAGATTGCGAATATGCTGGCCCAAATTCGTTGTCGAATCTTACAGCTCCTGAAACGCAGACGTCTGGAGGAATCGCATTATAATGTGTACGTTAAATGCGCGTTGAATTACGAGCAAAGTAAACACCAAAAAACGGCTTCAAAATTTATGAAACTGCTATCGATAGAAAGCTTACATAACACAGATTCCGAATATGTGATTTTTATCCTGGCCCAAATTCGTTGTCGAATCTTACAGCTCCTGAAACGCAGACGTCTGCCAGCCTGAGATTCGAAGTCGCATATAATGATGTACGTTAAATGCGCGTTGAAATACGAGCGAAGTAAACACCAAAAAACGGCTTCACATTCAATAAAACTGGTATCGATAGAAAGCTTAGATAACACAGATTCCGAATATGTAATTTTTATCTTGGCCCAAATTTGTCGTCGAATGTTACACCCCCTGAAACGCAGACGTCTTCCAGACTGACATTCGAAATGTCCGTGAAATACGAGCGAAGTACGCACCCCAAAACGGGTTCACATTCAATGAAACCAAACCACAGGCAGCCGGTCACTGCTGTTACGTAATGCTTATAGGTAACAGCAGTGACCGGGCTGTCTGTGATGAAACTGGTATCAATAGAAAGCTTGCATTAATAAATATAAATAAAAAAAAATAAGTAAATATAAAGCTTCGGTGTATCGTACTACGGTGGCCCATAGGGGACATGCTATAAATATAAATATATGCCTTTAGAATTTTATATGATACCTTCAGAATTTTATGTGAGGCTTCAGAATTCTATATGCATGATGCCTTCAGAATTCTATATGCATGATGCCTTCAGAATTTTAGATAATGTCTTCAGAATTCTATATGATGCCTTCAAAATTCTATCTGTGTACAACGGCAAAACGTCGTTTATTACGTCCCATGTAGAACGTCTGCATTTCAGGACCCAGTGAGCGCTACCTCGAATTAGGCTCTATAGAATTGTCCCTAAACGTGAACACAATGTTTTCAACGTCTTATATCTCATTAAATTGGTACAGTTGATACTATACAACAACGTTTTATCATAACATTTATTTAAAGAAGTATTCCAACCACGTCGTCGTCGTGTTGCCGTCCTACATGCTTAAGGTCCCTATAATATGCGGAATACGGAGTAAGGAGTGCGAATGCAGAGTATAGAGTAGAGCGAAGGATCAGAGTATTACAATATTTATGTAAGCGGTGGCAGCGCTACGGGGGTGTGTTGTTTGCCCCCCAGATCTTTTCATGTTACGTAAGTAGTGTAATACTCTTTTAACTTTTAAATACTTTTCTACTCTTTCCCCCCAAAACATTTCTTTGACCCCCAATTGCCCCCCCCCTCATTTTAACCTGGCGCCGCCACTGTATGTAAGAACAAACAAGGGCCGTTGCGAAAAGTGCAACCCAGGTCCTCCGGCAGGAATCGAACTATAGCTGAGGTGAGGTTAAGGGTATAGGGTTATATGACGTTTGAGAGATTTTGAATTGACAAAATTCTGCTGATTTATAGGGACTAGGCCATGAATTTGATGAATTTTGAATTAAAAAATAAATTGCCATTTTTTAGCTTTGTGCCCAAATCTAAAATTCTACAACTTTATTCTAACAATGCTACACGCTTTTTAAAAAACATATCTTTGCGAAAGCCTTCAAATATGGTAGATTGCTTTAACAGAAAAAAATTCAGATTGCATCAGTTAAACTCTCCCATCAACCAAATTGTTGTGAAATGTTCATGTAAATCGCATAAATGATGGAGGACTCTGGGAGACTTGGAGGCTATCGTTACATTTGGCATGCGTTGAGATTAAGGCAGCATATGGATTTATGCGAATCTAAAAAATGGCAATTTTATTTTTTAATTCAAAATTCATCAAATTCATGGCCTAGTCCCTATAAATCAGCAGAATTTTGTCAATTCAAAATCTCTCAAACGTCATATAACCCTATACCCTTAACCTCGCCTCAGCTATAGTTCGATTCCTGCCGGAGGACCTGGGTTGCACTTTTCGCAACGGCCCTTGTTTGTTCTTACATACAGTGGCGGCGCCAGGTTAAAATGAGGGGGGGGGGCAATTGGGGGTCAAAGAAATGTTTTGGGGGGAAAGAGTAGAAAAGTATTTAAAAGTTAAAAGAGTATTACACTACTTACGTAACATGAAAAGATCTGGGGGGCAAACACACCCCCGTAGCGCTGCCACCGCTTACATAAATATTGTAATACTCTGATCCTTCGCTCTACTCTATACTCTGCATTCGCACTCCTTACTCCGTATTCCGCATATTATAGGGACCTTAAGCATGTAGGACGGCAACACGACGACGACGTGGTTGGAATACTTCTTTAAATAAATGTTATGATAAAACGTTGTTGTTATTATCAACTGTACCATTTAATGAGATATAAGACGTTGAAAACATTGTGTTTCACGTTTAGGGACAATTTATAGAGCCTAATTCGAGGTAGCGCTCACTGGGTCCTGAAATGCAGACGTTCTACATGGGACTAATAAACGACGTTTTGCCGTTGTACACAGATAGATTTTGAAGGCATATAGAATTCTGAAGACATTCATTCTCAATGCATATAGAATTCTGTAGGCATCATGCATATGATTCTGAGGCATCACAATTCTTGAAGGTATCTAAATAAACGCATAATTCTAGGCCTTATTTTTTTTAGCATGTCCCCTATGGGCCACCGTAGTACGATACACATTTAACCGAAGCTTTATATTTACTTTTTTTTTTATTTATATTTAATAATGCAAGCTTTCTATCGATACCAGTTTCATCACAGACAGCCTGGTCACTGCTGTTACGTATATAGCATGACGTAAAAGCAGTGACCGGCTGCCTGTGGTTTCCAGCGTTCTGACTTTTAAGGACATTTCCTTAAACTAAGGAAATTTTGATCTTATTTCACCTTTTTAAGGAATTTTTGAGGGTTTTTAAGGAATTGTTTGAGTTTTAACTAATATAAAGCCAAAACAATTTTCCCGCCTTTTTAGTAAACTACACTAGGTCTCAGGCTTCATATCTGGGAACCCGGAGATTTAAGGAAATTTTACTCAATCTGAGGAATTTTGTCCTTAGTCTAAGGATTTCTAAACAATAGGATGTGAGAGCCCTGGTGGTTTTATTGCATGTGAACCCGTTTTGGGGTGCGTACTTCGCTCGTATTTCACGGACATTTCGAATGTCAGGCTGGAAGACGTCTGCGTTTCAGGAGCTGTAACATTCGACGACGAATTTGGGCCAGGATAAAAATTACATATTCGGAATTTGTGTTATATAAGCTTTCTATCGATAGCAGTTTCATAAATTTTGAAGCCGTTTTTTGGTGTTTACTTCGCTCGTACTTCAACGCGCATTTAACGTACATCATTATATGCCATTTCGAATCTCAGGCTGGCAGACGTCTGCGTTTCAGGAGCTGTAAGATTCGACGACGAATTTGGGCCAGGATAAAAATTACATATTCGGAATCTGTGTTATGTAACCTTTCTATCGATACCAGTTTCTTTGACATACCGCCTGTTTTTAACGGCAAAATAAAAAATAATATATTGTGTTTACGTATCGAATTTAGTGCGGATGAATATCGTGCTAGCTTCGCATATGTTCGATTTTGTTGTTCTCGGAGGAAGAGCGAATCCTGTGGTGAATCCTGTGGTAGCTTCACACTAGTCGTGAAAATACTGACCAGCAGGTATGATACATTTTTATATTTCTATTCAGATTTGTTACTCTCAGTAATGCTTGTGATCAGGCACCGCAGAAGTTTTTCAAGGTTATATCTGATATATTATATCTGATAATGGAACACGAGAACTGTGGAATGGTTTCACACACCTTATAATTACATTCCCTGTCTGGCCTGTCAGAGGAAACCAGGATACCCAGAGAAAATGCCATTTAAATTTGAAATTCATATTCATTAATATATTTATTCAATAATTCAAGTTTTCAAATTACTTTGGAATGTACATACCATACTATTTATTGATCACACATTAATTTTAGGGCCTGGATGATAACAATGAATTACTGATACAACAACAAGATAGCAGCAGTAACTCTGATGAATTTGATGATGGAATCGTGCAGGTATTTGTTTAATTACTGTACCATAACAAATTCGCATAGAAATTTATGCTGTTTGAGAAGTAATAAATAAATAATAAAAATAGGCTAAATAATAAAAAGTATTGATATAACCGTATAATGTATGTAATAACGTTATTAAATTGTCTTTTGTAGAACAGAAGGTGTTCTAGCAATGATGATGATACAGATGATTATTCAGATGATCAATCAGATGGAGAGAATGATGTAAGATAAGATTATAAGTATTTAAAATTATATAACATTTTTACTGAGAGTACCCTGGGCCTTGTACCACTGCTAGTAAAATCGTCATGTGTTAAACAGATCTATGCATGCTAAGCAATTCGTAAATTAATGTACATTTTAATTGCAATTCGTAGGGCCTGGATATTGAAGATGGTAATGAACCTGTTTACCAAGGAGCAATAATTACCAGAGCACAAAGTATTTTGATTTTGTTGTCATTTCTTCTGCGCCATGGCTTGACAGATGTAGCTCTGACAGATCTACTAGGAATACTGAATTTGCATTTCCCAAGTATTTTTCCAACTTCGAAGTACAAATTTTACAAAACATTTAACTCAACTGAATCACAGGTATGTATAGAGTAATTAATTGGACTATATGTCATGTATTTTTATTTTATTTTTATACATTCTAGTCATGGGCATCAAAAGATTTAGAGCAGTTTCTAAGGATGATGAGAACCATCAACTTCAGGCATAACGTCGAACAGACAAGATTTGTCATCTTCCCGGGAGAGACTGCTAACATGTCAGTTCTTGTGACAGTCCTAGAGTCCATGGGCATTGAATGGGACATTGCATATTATCATTGCAATCCTGTAGTACTACAAGGTATGTGTAATATTAAAACTGTTATATATCATGTGCATCATTTCCTTGTGCAGTGATTTTTTTAATTTTCATACTTATGAAATCACAAAGAAAGAAGAATGGTTGTATAAAGAGAAAGTTATGAAGTTTTATGCATCATATGCTTTCTCCAGTATAACCCAAAATGCTAGCATATCAGTAAGGTGCTCCATGCCATCAGACCTTGAATGCCATACAACCTCATACTGTGAGCATTCATAATTTGTGTTGTTTCTTGCAGAGAGCTCTTCCTTGACAAAGTCAACACACCCTTTCATTGTGACAAAAACATGTCAACCAATCAAAGGAGATGACCTATTCACGCAATCTGCAGATGAGTTCTTCGCAGAAAAAGACACTGGAATCAATTTGTATGTAAAATTGCTAAACCTTTTTGTAGAGGACAAAACTCTATATGTAGTTGATGCCTGCGGAGGTGCAGGATCATGTGCCTTAGCTTGCCAAGAACTTGGTGTAAAATGCCTAGTTCTTGACAGCTCTGCTATTAAATTGAGATTAATCCAGCAGAGGGCTAAATAAATCAGGTAAACCCAGCAAATACAGTATGTACCTGACAGTAGTGATCTTAATATGTTGTTTTTATTGAAAGTGTATAAGGTAGAGTTGCTGTTCATTGCTGTACCAGCTTCTATGTTAAGCTCAAGAATGTATTTTATTAATGTAATTTATTTAATTAATTAATTATATGATTAATTGAACAATTTCCTAACAGTTAATATTGTATTGTTATATTGTAATTATTATATTGTATTATTATATTATATTGTATATTTTCTCTAAATCAGGCAAGGCTTCGAGATCTCGAAACCAGGCAAAGGCTTCGAGAGCTCGAAACCAGGCAAAGGCTTCGAGATCTCAAAACCAGACAAGGCTTCGAGATCTCGAAACCAGGCAAGGCTTTCGAGATCTCGAAACCAGAAAAGGTTTGCTTTGTGATATTGGACATGCTGTAAATCAATTTTCCATTATAATTGTGGCAAATTTGCCAAATACCACACTGTGCTGAATCAATCTTCATTTTAGTGGCAAAATACCTCAAAATAGCAAGATGATTGATGTATCTGCCACATATTTAAATAAAATGTGTTTCATTAACTGTTTTTATCATGTATTTTTATATAGCCTGCTAAATGATGAGATTTTTTATAATTTATCAATAGACAATTTGTACAGTTTATGCAATTTGGAGTGATTTCACATCAAATTGACCACTAACAGCTAGCATTGTATTTTTTTGTGGAAATTAAAAAATAGCAAAACCTTCAATATTTAGAACTTGGAGAAAAATTGATAAAACGTCCCAAGTTAGCAATGCAAACATTCTTGTTTTGTAAATTTTACACGTTCTGCCCAAATTCAACAACAAAATGTTTTTTTTCTTGCTGTATTTGGCTTTAATGTGGCATTTTGTTAAGAAATGCACTAAACAGAATATCACACTTTACTCTGGAACGCTTACTGAGGCATGCTGGGCAACTGCATGCGCTTTCCTACTTTGCTACTTTGCTACTGCTTAGAAATTTAAGCCAATTTTTTAAAATTTAATATAAAAAGATCCATTAAGTAAAATATGAAGATTAATATAGTGAAAATACAACGACCATTCAACATTTCGTTTCAGGTGTTCGATGGAAATACGGACGAAAATTCTGTTGTGACAAATGTCTTATCACCAGCTGTAACAGCTCGTTATATCCGCATACACCCGAAGACATGGAACAACCACATTTCTTTGAGAGTGGAACTTTATGGTTGTGAAAGAGGTAGGATTAAAAGCAGTGCAGGCAGAAGTTTGCAAATAGTAATTGTAAATTTCTTCGGAATTGCGTTTTTATAAAATACACTGAAAAGAAAGTGTGAAAAGGTGGCGTTATCGTTCCATGACTATTAGGCACTTCTTTTCACGCCATTCAAATCTACAAACTGATGCTCGCTGTAACCATAAGAGACTTATTAATTTAGCCGTATGCAACATCAGTAGGGACAACGTTTCCTTTTACATGATTATAGTTGCGTTTTGCAAAAAATCTGTTACAACTTTGAGCGGTACAGCAGGAAAACAAAAATCTATATGTTCAGACCCCATGATGTTTGCACATCTCACTTTGCGTAATAGTAATTGTAAATTTGAAAATTTTCCTCTAATGGCGTTTTTATAAAATACACCGAAAGGAGAGTGTGACACGTAGTAAGGCCCGCATACACTTGCAATTCTTGCTGCGATTTACGTGCGATTTTTTTCCTTTGATACATGGGAACGAGTGAATTCGTTACTGATGTTCCAAAAAGAGTGCTTATTAATCAGAACGTTCGTAACTAATTACTCATTTACATCTGTTAAAAGAGGAAAATCACACATAAAATCGCTGCAAAAATCGCAAGTGTAAACACCGTTACTTACATGTAGGATCGCAGGCGAACAGCAACATCGTTACTGCCGTCCCCGGGTGGGTGGGGTCGTTATCGTTGCAAGACTATTGGGCACTTCTTTTAACGCCATTCTAATCTACAAACTGCTGCTCGCTGTAATCATAAGAGACTTATTAATTTAGCTGTATGCCCAGATCAGTAGGAACAACGTTTCCTTTTACATGATTATTGTTGCGTTTTGCAAAAAATCGGTTACAACTTTGAACGGTACAGAAGGTAAAGAAAAGTCTATATGTCAGGACCCTATGATGTTTGTGCCGATGTGCATCTCGGTATACGTAATACAAAGAGATTTAACAGTAGGGCAATGGATTGCACTTGTTTGGCCCGTACTGGAAGGTATATAGGACTAAAATTCTTTCCGCAAAAAAAATATTTTTCTTATAAATGTTGCGTACTTAAAATGCCTATATCACTCGTGGAATCTTTATACAGTTGAAAAGAATGTAAAAAGTTACTTAATATATAAAAACGTTTTTTTATTTAGTGCAATAATTTTGAAGATACTAGCTTTTAAACTCCCTGCAATTCCTGAGTCCCAGGCTCCTGTAAACAATGGGCAGTTTCAAATTAAATAGCCGTGTTTAAACCCAGGAGGTTGGGACTTAAGAACCGCAGGTAGTTTAGAGGATTGTATCTTCGAAATTATTGCACTAAATCAAAAAACGTTTTTAATATATTAACTAACTTATTACGTTCTTTTCAAATGCATAAAGATCCCACAAGTGATATAGGCACTTTAACTAAGCGGTCGTACAAAGCTCATTTGGCCCAAACAGGTGTTATAGTAGCTAATTAACAGTATATAGTTCTTAATTTGTTTGAAACTAGTCATGCATGTTTATCTAGCGCTTGTGTGATATGTCTTTAACTAGTCTTATGACTTTTGTCTTAAAACACAGGCTTAAATGTTTAAAATTCCCTGTAGTCAATGCAATTCCTTGCAAAGCTGGTGAAAAGACACTTGGCGTGGAAGATAAGAATAAAGTTAAAGATTCGCAATTGACTTCTTCGAGTTATTGGAAAAATTACTATGCAGCTCGTGGACGATTGTACAACAAAGATATAGGATGGATAGCTGGAGTAAACGACCAGAATCCGTGGATACAGGTTGATCTTGGAAAGAAGGAAGTTGTCTCAGGGATTGCCACTCAGGGAGGAAGTTATTATTATAATAAATCTTATCGTTATCGTTGGGTGAAGACCTATTCCGTGAAGTATAGTTTGAATGAAACAACATTCGAGTCTTACAAAGATGAGGGTGATGATAAGGTGAGAATTATTGCACTACAGGGCGTGTAAAAAATACAGTTAATTAAGTATGGGGTAGGTTATTTGAAGGATAGTGGTGGCTCAATACAGCTTCTCGACATTTTTTGGTGCACATTTTAAACAGGGATATCGAGCATCTAAATATTTCGCTAGAAGGCTAAAAGTTAATATACTTTGCAGGAAACATATCTTGACCTGAAATCTTTCCAAAACGTTTGTGTGCCACTCGTTACCATGGTAACAGAGACGTTTCAAAATGGTCGCCAAACGGTGTTTAATCGTGTTTATAAAACAAGCACGATCGGTGACTCGATTTTTTTGTGTTAAACGTTTACGCTATATGGATGCTTTATCTATTAAAAAGTTTAAAAAAACTTTCATGGGGATTTTTTTTCTATATGCAAAAACATTATTCTAACTTAATAAAAAATTCCTATAACAGAATTTTATTTGTTTATTTTTATTTATTTACATTTGCTACATCATACTAATATTACAATAAACAAAAAAGACGAAAAACATGCAATGATGATGGCTGGGTAGCCACAACAGCGTTAGCCAATTATATGTGGTCCCGCACAGGCGAACGGATAATTGGTAAATTAATGTAAAGTAAATTTGAAAGAAGTTAAAAGCAACATGTCATTGCTGATGAAATGTTACGAGCGGTATTTCATTTCAAGCAGATACTCTTCCCTGTTCGTGAGTTTTCTGGGTCGTAAGTATTCTGAAGCGCTGTCACGTAGTAGTTGAAGAGATTTTCCTTGAACATGTTGAAAGGGGAAATTTTTATGTTATATGATCATGTAGGATATTCCAGGTCCTCGTTGAGCGAATGAAGAAGGATTTTTGATATGCAGAGGTTTTGCATCTCTTAACAGTGTATTTTAAACAATCAGATTTGGAAGATCTAGTAGGTCTATGGTTTTCAGGAACTGGTAAGAGGTCTGGGTTGAGAGAGTAGAAACCATATAGTTTGCCTTGGTATAAAATATTATGTCGAGGTATTCTTGCCAGTACGTTATAGGGAGAAGATCTGTAGGATATGGAGAAGAGACGCTGGTAGTAGTCCATATCACAATTTAATGGCAGGTTCATGATATACTTGGTAGCACGTCGTTGTATGCGCTTCAGTCTTCTACTCTATTGAAGTAAAAATACTTCAAGTAGTCCTGTTTTACCAGATTAATTCTGAAGTTATTAGGATTAAAATTTCTAATAGAATATAATTCGACGGATCAATCCCAATTTGCGGATAGCCTTCAGTGAAATTTCCTCTATATCGTTATTCCAAGTGAAAGTATTTGTTACTGTTAATCCTAGATCTTTTGATTGGACCACTGTTCAAGCATGGTGGAATTAAGCATGTACGACCGTTCGGCTTTGTTATGTTTCTTCGAAATATTTAAGACTTTCCATTTTGTAACATTGAACCTCATACTCCAATCGCTGCTTCAACGACTTAGTTCCAATAACTCATCTTGTAAATTTATATGATCGAATTCATTCTTTATTGTTCTGTACAAGTTGGAATAGTCTACAAATAGGCAAATAGTTGGCATAGATGATGAACTGTAATGATCCCAGAATAGACACCTGAGGCACACCAGAGGTGACATGTAAAGGAAATGAGGTTCCGCTAAATACAGTTGTCTGGTGGTGACGATCACGGAGATCAGAACAAAACCATTTCATGATATTTCCTCCAAACCAAAATCGCGAAGACGATGAATGAGACGGCAGTGTCTAGCTTTGTCGAAAGCCTTGGACATGTCAAGATATAACGTCATATTGTTTGCCATAGTCGATATGATCCATCACTTCTGTAACGGGTGCCACACACAAGTTCCGAATAGATTTTTTCTCTAAATATTTTCCGGCAAAGTATATTAACTTTTAGCCTTCTAGTGAAATATTTAGATGCTTGATATCCCGGTTTAAAATGTGGTAGAGATGACATAGTTAAAAAACTACTCTCATCAATTCTTTCATACAAATAAATCAATTATTTTATACTCTCTAGTATAAGCTAGTATCAGCTAAGAATTAGTTATTGGCCAATAAAATTGGCTCATTTCACCGGGACATATCACCGGGACACTTACCCAGGACATCGCTTTGGTAACGCGGGCAAATTGAAATATGGAGGAACTATTTACAAAACGCCTTGTAATGGTGGATCTTTTGTCTTTAGCAGCAGCTGTTCTTAATCTTCTGGGGCCGGTTGTATAAAATTCTTAACTACGTTTTAACTACTTTTTAACCACCCAACTGTAGTTAAATTGAAGTTAACTTTAATCACATAGTTAAGCCAGTTGCATAAAAACGTATATAGCGTTAACTGTAGTTAAAATCTAATTAAAGTTAACTATCCTCAAGGGCATCGTTAACTTTTCAAAACATAGTTAGAAATGGCGTCTTGAGCTTTTGAGGAGTGAGAAAACATTAAAATCAACCCATACCAAGGTTTTCAACAGTTATCCAATCAGAAAAGGCCCCGTCGAAGCTTGTAAACTTTCAATATGCTTTTATTTTTTTTTTATTTGGGCAGCAACAGAGTATTTTTTAGCTTCGGGAGACTATTCGATGCCAAATTGTGATCCTAGCAAAGATTAGCCATCTCCATTTTCAACTGCAACGGGTAGTTTGACTCAAAGGCAGCTTTTTATACTAAGAGCGCCTTTATCGTTGAATTATTTTAGCTTTTTCCTTGTTTTATTGCATTTTTTCCAATATTTTAGATCAAAATACTGTCAATTTTTCTAAATACGAGTTCACAGTCTTTTTCAAAATCAATAATAGCGGTCAATAATTTCCATAGTTAAGGTTTTAACTGCAGTGATTAAAGCTAATCATAGTTAGAGTAAACGACGTTTTTATACAACCGGCCCAAGAACACTATTAGCAGCCAGTTAGCACTCTTTTTTCTGCCGGAGCGAGCGAGCAAGGCAGGTTGGGCAGCAGCCGTGATCAATGATATTAATCGGGGAGATGAAATCTCGACTTTTACTTTTACCGTCCGACATGAATTTGAGCTGGGCATATAAATGAGTGCTGAATTGCCTATTACGATATAGGTAGAACATATACAAGTACTGCTTACCAAAAACTCGGTAAAGTCCGATTTTAAATATCAAGGAAACACAATAGTCTTCATCACAACAGAGCTGAACTCGGCATTGGGCGAAACCTCAGTTCACACTATATGGTCTGCCATTCCCGTTTCCCGGTGTACGTTTGGGTTAACTTTCATATAAAATAGTCTGAATCTGAAATAACCTATAAAACGTTCTCTCAACTTACACGCGAAATGTCATTGTTTTTACACCGTCCACTTCAGTGCCCAAAACATGCTCAAAAAAGGTTGGATATTAAACATGAAGTAAATTAGTTAGTTTTGCTGCCGAAGCAATAAACTAACGAGAATATTCCCGGACGAGCCTGCCATGCATCATGCAAGTATTCGCGTACAACAATGCGGAATTTTGTTTTAGATCATTTACAATGCATAAATATTGACCACTTTCGGAGAAAAAGCACATTATTTACCATTTTACATGAAGTATAAAAAGAGTAAACAATGCCTTTGACCGGTTAGCGAAAAATTCGTTCGATCGAAAAGTATGGCCTAGTTGGAGAACGGCTTCGGTTCAAAACGAAATTCCTCAGTAGCACAGGTTTATGTAAAAGTATGTCTGTTGTTTGTTTGTCACTGAATGTACAGTACTATCATAGGAAGTCTGCATGGTCAAGCAATTCAGTCATACTAAACGGTTTTATTATTTTCTAAACGGATTTGGATAGGGTTTTATGATTTTCAAGAAAATACATCAGTATTTAATTTACAACTTTGTCTAGATATTTGATGGAAATAATGACAGGAATACCATTGTGAAGAATGTCCTGTCTCCACCAATCACTGCTCGTTATATTCGTATATATCCAGAGTCTTGGGAAGACAACATATGTATGCGAATTGAGCTTTATGGTTGTTACTGAGGTATGTACTAACCTTATATACTTCATATAAATATCAGCTTATTATACTAGGTATACATGCATGCAGCATCCCCTTGGATGGTAATATTATTGTTAGAAAATTTATGGGTTGGGGGTTTTGGAGGGTGCATGGTATGTGAGAATGAAGAAATTGAGAAAAGTATGGAAATATTTTTCTGCACGTCGAAGCACTGTAGTCATAGCAACTCGCAACCAACATCGGAACGGCCGTATATTTCAGTTAAAGAATCAAAGTTTACCCTCATATTTTTGTGAATAAAATGGCAAAAATACGACAAAATTCTTACCTTTTTCTGGAAGTTAAGTCACTCATCTATAGTCACTGTCATGGTAAATTATTTTATTTATTAATTACCTTGAAGTACAACATCTGAAGTTTTATGTTACGCCTGGACTGGTTTTTGCACGCGAATATTTTGATCTGCTTTTCTTTTTAATTTTGTCATCATGAAAACTCAGTTTATAAATGAAATTATAGTGTCGTTTATCACATAACACACTCAGATTTATTGTGAAATACATTTGAGATTATTAAAGTTGTGTTTACCACAAAAGAATTACTTTTTAAAGCTGTGAAATCTTCCGACTTCATTATGCACGGTGAATTGGGTCGAATTTAATTTAATTTAATTTAATTTGATTTAATTAAAAACACATATATTACATATTTATGAAAATGTAAATTTATAAATTTCATCAAAATTTTGCGAAATTAAAGTTATTCATTGAAGTTCAGAAATGCAAATTTTTGTTTCTACCAATCAAGAGCTTAGTAGTTTCCACTGGCGCATGCGCATAACGTAGAAGACCGTCCATGGCGTGAGGTCCATTGCATAATGGCGGACGACTTTGATTTCGCATTTGCACATCGTGGGTGTAACACTGGGGTGTAAATATCCGAGCGGAATTAGTACACTCGCACGGTGCTCCGCACCGGCTCGGGGGAAGTATTGTGATTAAACCTGAGGAAAAAAACGAAGCCAAGGTTATATGCCAGAATCGCCAGAAAA